GCCCTTTTAAAAGGCCTCAGGGACAATAACCACAAGGTAGTGCAGGCACCGCTGTACAATTAATACAATCAATAGAAGCATTAGGCGGACTTCAAATGAACGCAGCGCAACACAATGCCATTCCACTGGAGGGAGACTCATTGGGCTTTGATTCAAATCATCGTCATTCATGACTAGTTGACCACATCGTTTTTACATATAAAAGTCAAACACTTCAGAATAGCGCCATAAAAACCACCTGGTTGAATCACAGTATTCCAATTGTCACTTTTAAAAGAGGGGTTTTGTGCCAACGCTTTATTAGAGAGTGCTTGCTGTTGAAGTATGCTAATGCTTTAGCGCAAAGCCATTAATTGTCCTCGCAAAAGTTTTAATTAGATTCGCTTTGGTCTTTTGTACGAGAGCTTGACACATTGTGAGTAACAAAGAAAAGGGGTAATTCGTTAAAATACAAGTATCACTGATTCACCGTATGGGTAATTGATGAGATAAAATGCATTTTATTCTTGGCGTGAGTCAGCCCTTTATGTGAGAATGTGATGCATGACGTTGTTTAGTGTTATAAAAAGCATTAATAGAGAAAAACAAGATTTACTCAGCGGATGTGTAAATGCCTATAAAATTAAACTAAATTCAGCGTGAACTGTGGATGATACATGGCGATTATATGACCTCCTATTGTAGAAAAATACATCCGGATGTTTCCAATGGCCCGTTTCCACTGAGTGGTTCAGTACGGTATGGTACGGGTCAGTACGGGTCACCTTTATCAGGCCTGCGTTTCCACTGCCAAAAGGGTACCAATGGTAAAGCTTCAGTCGACATCATTCTCACTCAAGGAAATTTCAATGTAAAGCTGTACGGGTCGTTCATACATCATATGAGTAGTACTTCTTACAAAACAGATGTAAATACTTGTGTTTAAATGTTTATTTCTAACCTTTCTATAAACATGATTATATCTGCAGATCAATGTCTGCAATTATATAAAATAAATAAATAAATCCAACATATATAAACACATAAAGACCCTTAAAGTGTTTGATATGTTACCAATTACAGAAAAACTACACACAACATACATTTAGTCCTTATTTGGGTTCAAAAACAACACGTAACATATAGCCCAGTCAGTGCAAACCGCTCATCTGCATCTTTAATCTTCACCAGCACATGCAAACTCTGTTAGAGAGTAATTCTGTCATTCATAATAGTCCAAAAGGTGATTATAATAGTTAAACATGGCAGTTTGTTCATGTTTAGGTTGCTGAAAGAATCCTTTGCTCCTTTGTTTTTTCGGCTTTTCCTTTGTTTTGTCATGCGTCACTCTCTTGTTTGTCTGTTTCTGAAAGGATTGGATGTCAGAAGCACTTCAATAATCATGCGCAGGATATTATCATCAGCTCAAGAAATTTGTTATTGCGAATATAGATATAGACATGAGCTCCCTCTCTCTCTTTAGCTTGAAGGTATAGGGCTAAAGGGAAGGGGTAAATATCTCTTTGGACAGATTTTTCAGGACCACACATGGTGGTTTCAATTGTGGTCCAGAAAAATCATTGTTTTATATACCTTCGTTTTATATACCTTCCCTATACCTTCAAGCTAAAGAGAATTGGGATACCCCTACCTCTTCACAGGAAGACGCAAAACAAGGGGTAGGGATAAAGGGAAGGGCTAGAACTGTGATTGGGCCTTAGTCGATATCTGACTTTTGTATATTGTAGTGGTACATTTATATCATATTAATCTGGTAGTATTTGTTGACCAGCCACAACGGATTGATACACCCGGAAGTAAGGAGATTCACAAATTTGTATTTTTTTTTTGTCATTACTAAGAATTTTTGGAACAAACAAGCATATGTTTTAATATATTCATAAATGTGTTCATGTTTTACCGTCATGCTTTAAAAAAAAAAGCTAAAATAATAACCTGTAAATTTCGCGATCTGTAATCTATATTAATAACTCCCACAACATTTTGACACTCGAATACCCTGTCAGTAATGTCTAGTGCAGGGGTGTCCAAAGTCGGTCCTTGAGGGCCGGTGTTCTGCTGACTTTAGCTCCAACTTGCTTCAAGACACCTGCCTGAAAGTTTCTAGTATACCAAGTAAGAGCTCTATTAGTTGGTTCTTATGTTTTTGAATAGGGTTGGAGCTTAAGTCTCCAGGACACCGGCCCTTCAGAACTGAGTGTGGACACCCCTGGTCTAGTGGCTGGGAATGTTTTTTTTTTTTTCTTACAGTGTCTGCTATAATGTTAATGTTGTTTTTATTTGTTTACATAGATGAGTTTAAATGTGTAAATTTGTGTAAATGCACAGTATAGTTACATTCTTATTGCCACACTATCATAATAATAACATAATATATGCCTTCAGTGATTTCCTGAAGATAAATACCAAAAAAATAACACAACTAGAATAACTAAAGCAGTCGCAATCGTCTAATCTCATATAAAGCTGGAGATCGCGATGACATATGTTGACGTGTGCAAGTGCTGTAGTGCTGTCCCAATTCTGAAGGGTAAATTATAAAGCCCTTCCACTTCACCCTCGGTTTTAAAGAGCCCATATTATACATGAAATAGGGTCATATCTTGGTTGTAAGAGTCTCCAACAACAGTCTAATATGCATGCAAGGTCAAAAAACACTTTCATGGTCTTATAATCTGCATTTATTTTTACCTAATTATCCCAGCGACTCCTGTATGAATCGTCCAGTGATTCATTTGTTCCCAAACCCCTACTTAGCGCGGAGCTAATCTGCGCTGATTGGACCGATGACAGTCTGTCGCGATTGGTCGACTGCCTTCAGTCAGAGAGGGAAATGGCCAATAGCTAATCAGCAATTTAAAAAGTAATCACAGTTCATACACGCTCGATAGTGTAGGCGTGGATTTTAGCTGCCACACTATGGCGAGTGGATAGTGCCACGGATAACCGAACGAAGGAGACAGTCGTGTACTCGCCATACCACACACACACAAAAACACACACACACCTCCGGATGACAACGCTCCCGCTTCCGCCCGCACCCGCCAGGTTTTAGCCTGAGAACCGTTTTCTCCCCGCCGCGCCCGGTCCCGCTAGAGCGGAGAACACAACCAAAAATCACCCAGTATACAGTCCAGACAGCCAAGCTGTCTGTATAAACACATACACACAGCACAAAGCTCGTTCGTTCGTTCGCTCTCTCTCTTTCTCTCTCTCTCGCTCTCTCTCATACGCTCTCTCATACCAAGCAGACTCTCTCTTTCTAATTCACATAGCAATATCCGTGATATTGCTAGACAGCCCGCTCCCGTCCCAAATTAAACCCGTTACCGACCGCTCCCGCGATTTATTCGGAAATTTATTCCCGCGGCTGTCCCCGCGCCAGATTTCTGCGGCGCGGGAATAAATTTCCGAATAAATCGCGGGAGCAGAACTCTAGCACGGAGCTCCATAAACAAACAGCACGCGTCGCGTTTTTAACGTGACTTTGCACGCGATAAGATAAAATATCCAGTTAACCTGATACAGTACACGCGGTTACAAGTAACAAATCACAACTAAATACATTTGCAAGCTAGAGTCAACGAGGCAACAACTTTAACCGCACGTACTTACACTTGAGAAATGGAAGAAACCCATCCTGACGTCCATCAGTTACTCTTTACTGATCCTTCCTTTAACAAACTCAGATGAAGTATTCTTTGTAGCATGTAGCTTCCAGAAGTTTCCAACTGCTTGGTTATAATGCTGAGGTTTCATCTTTGGGTAGAGACTCAATATATCCATCTGCAGTGTGACTTCAATCAACCGGCATGTTTGTGTGTGTGTGTGTGTGTTTGTGGGTGTGTGTGTGTCTGGGTTTCTGCGTCAGAGGGCGGGGCCTCAGGTTTGAAATCTCCCGGGTTTGCGCGTGCACGTGAATAACTTGGTTTCGTTCGTACGTCATGGCGAAACACCTAATGAATCGTGATCAAGGCGACTCGTTTGAAGCACTATGAGTCGACTCTTTTATAGATGAATCAACAGTTTTAAACACTGTATTCTTACAGATTTAAGCCTTAGCTGGATACTTCACTTCACTTAGAGCTGTGTTACACACTACATGGAGGGGAATTTTCAAAAACCCATAATATGGGCCAAGGGGAAGGGGTAGGGGTACAAAAATAGAATTGGCCTTAATCACTAACCTGTTTTTTAATGATTTGATCTACTGTAGTTTAACTGGGGTAAATTTACGCTGAGTTTTTCTCCCCGAAGGACTTTGCAAGGATATTGCATGGCTATCAGCCAATCAGATTCAAAAACCAAACAGAACTGTTGTATTTAAACAGTATGCATGGGCATTGCTGTGTAATGTAAAAAAAATAAGAAAAATTAATATGGTTTACAGTTCTGTAGATGATGATGATGATGACAATGATAAAAAGGTTCAAGAACAGTTTAAATCTTAATTTTCGCTATTAACTAGTGGCTTATAACCTACTTATAATTGAGATATTGGCTATTTTTTAGTATTTATGAAGTACATGTTGATGAATCATCTTATTCTTTGTCCCTAATCCTACCTAATACCTAAACCTAACAATATCTATTAATAAGCAGCAAATTCTGACATTATTGAACAAAAAGTCATAGTTAAGATATTAATAGCAAGAATTGCACTTTAAAATAAAGTGTGACCAATAATTTTGAGTGTAAACTGTCCCTTTGTTTAAATGATTGTGTAATGCGTCATCCAATGAGTCACTGTGTATAAACATAACTGTACAATGTTATAAAAGGAATTATTTGTCAGAAATGAATATCAGAGTGATAACCAACTAATTCTGGAGTGAATAGTCACGCTCTCTTTTGTATTAATGTGTGTAATGCATGACACATGGTTTATAAGCATGGCTGTGTAATGTTAAAAAATAAACAACTTATAAAAAAAAAAGCAGCAGCATTTACTTATACTATGTATGACCAATAATAAAAGAGAAAACATCTGTGTTTTTCAGACAAGATAGCTCTCGAAGGAATGGTTGTGCAGCGAGCTGAATGCAGACCTGCAGTCAGCGAGAGCTACATGAAATTAAAAAAGTAAGTCAATGTTTGATTGCAAAACAATGCGTCTGATTAGACCATCTGCAAGTGTCCTTTTTTTCCCAGGCTGCAGATCGAAGAATCCACCAAACCTCTTCGTTTTTCCCAGAGGCTTGAGAAAGCCATCACAACCAATTACAAACCTGTGTCCAACCACAGTCATAATGTAAGTACACTGTTAAAAACTTCCTGCAGAATTTACAGTAACTTACTGGCAGCAGTTTGCCAAACTACTGTATTTACATTCACAGCACCATTGATCTTGCTGAATATGCTTTATATTGCTGGTATATGTATATCTGTACTGTAAAATATACACATATTTTCACAATGCAACTTTAAAATACAGTAACATACTATGTAACTGTCCTACAGTAAAGTGCATTTCATATTACAGTTACAGACTGTGTAATTTACGTGTGACATTAAGTGTGATATTATAACATGGCCGAATGATCATTATGGTTTGCTTTTGCTTCTATTCAGTTGGAATATGAAAAGAGAAAGAAAGAGGAAGGCAAGCGTGCACGAGCTGACAAGCAGAAGGTTCTGGAAATGCTCTTCTCTGCCTTCGAGAAGCACCAGTTCTACAACATCAGAGACCTGGTGGACATCACTAAGCAACCGGTGGTGAGTTGTTCAGCTCAAGGCGATTAAACTTACAAACACTGCGCTGGATGAACCCAGAGCTTGTGCTTCCTCTTGTGGAAAAGAGTAGGCCTACACTTGAGCTACTTTTAAAATGGTTATGTGCTTAAAAGGACAGTTCACCCTCCCAAAAAGAGTGAATTTACTCACCCTCCAGTGGTTGCAAACCTGTATGAGTTTCTTTGTTTTGTTGAACAAAAAAATATTTTGTGTTCAACAGAATATAGAAACTTGTACATTTTTGGAACCACTTGAAGGTGAGTAAATTGTAAGTAAACCATCTTTTTTAAATTTGTATTCTTCAAAATACAAATTGAGATATTTTAGTTGAAATGCGAGAGCTCACTCATCCTCCATTGGTCCTGACTCCAGAAAGGTACCTAATGACCCATGCTTACTGAGTGGTACGGCAAGGTATGGTTCGGTGCGCTTTTATGGCTGTTTTCACTGTCAAAAGGTACCAAAAAGCAAACCATACCATACCACTTTTTGGGTACCCTTTCAAAAGGGTACCCAGCCCAACAAAAGGGTACCAAAAGGCAGAGCAAAATGTGCAGCTGAACAATATTTGTTTTACAGAGATACGTCACTAGCTCATGCACAAGCCAAGAGAATGAAAACAAAGGAATTGCCATTTTTAAATACAAACCCAATACATTGCATCGTAGTAATAGATACATATAATAATGAGCTTGTTGATCCAAGCTTAAACCCATCTTGACGTCGTTTTGATGAACAGCCACAAAGCCAAGAAAAAAAGCAAAATATACCCTGTCATTGTTTAAAAGGCAGTCTAAAGTGCAAGCGGTTTCACTTTTTTTGAGAGAGCTCGCATCCGCGTCTATATTTGAAATAACAAACTTCTTGAGCTCATATTAATAACATGCTCATGATTATTGATGTGCTTCTGACATCAGATCCTTTCAGAAAAAGTAGAAGTAGAAAAGAGAAGCCGAAAAAAAGGAGCAAAAGATTCTTTCAGCAACCTAAAACATGAACAAACTGAAATGTTTAACTATTATCATTACCTTTTGGACTTTAATGAACTCGGAATGACAGAATCACTTTCTAACTGAGCCTATATATGCTGGTGAAGATTAAAGATGAGAGGTTTTTCTATAATTAGTAACATATCAAAGACTGTAAGGGTCTGTATTTGTTCATATATGTTGGATTTATTTATTTATTTTATATAATTGCAGACATTGATCTGCAGTTATAATCATGTTCATAGAAAGGTTTGTAATAAACATTTATACACGCATATTTATGTGTATAAAGCATCTGTTTTGTTAGAAGTGCTTCTCATATAATATGTGAATGACCTGTACAGCTTTACATTGACATTTCCTCTAGCGAGAATAAAGAGATTGAAACTTTGACATACACCACGCTCATCATTGGTACCCTTTTTGGCAGTGAAAATGCAAGTCTGATAAAGGTGACCCATACTGTACCGTGCTGTACCATTCAGTGGAATTGGGCCATTAGTGCAGACTCATAACAGCCCAAATGCCTTTATTTCACAGTGCTTGTAAATGTGTGCAATATACTGTACTGACACTGGGGGAAAATTTTGATGAATAAAGTTGTGCAAATATTCTCATAGCTTCATAATATTCAGGCTGAACCACTGAATATGATGGATTGACAATGTCTTTTGGTTACTTTCTTGACTTTGATCTAGTCTACGAATGTCGAGGGAGACCAACAGGCACACAACGTCATACGATGTTAATATAAGGTTAGATTTAGGTCGTGATGTCAGTTGACCAAAATTCAATGATATTTTGATGTCCAATAACAATATTAATTGGAAAGTGACCAAAATCCAACATCTGTCCGACAGTGGACTCTGACGTTGGATTAAAACATCAACCTGATTTTCATTGATCGCATTTTGTGATCCGAAGATGAACAAAGGTCTTAGGTTTTAGTAAATTATAACATAATTTAAGATGCCGCAGTAGGTAGTGCTGTCACCTCATAGCAGGAAGGTTGCTGATTCGAGCCTTAGCTGGGCCAGTTGGCGTTTCTGCATGTTCCCCCTGTGTTCGTGTGCGTTTCCTCCGGGATGTTCCGGTTTCCCCCACAGTCCAATGACATGTGGTACAGGTGAATTGGGTAGGCTCAATTGTTCGCAGTGTATGAGTGGGAAGGAGTGTGTATGGATGTTTCCCAGAGATGGGTTGCAGCTGGAAGGGTATCTGCTGCATAAAACATGTGCTGGATAAGTTGGCGGTTCATTCCGCTGTGGCGACCCCAGATTAATAAAGGGACTAAGTTGAAAAGAAAATGAATGAATGAATGAATAACAGAATTGAATTTTTCCTTTAATTTCCTCTATTTGAGTGTCTTTCAATAATACGTTTTGTTTTATATTCTTTGAAAATTATGCTTTAGGTCACGGTTATTCAATTACAAATTCAGTTGGGCCAGATTTTCAAACCAAGAAGTTTAGCTGGGCCAGTCATTTTAGCGGCTTTGTAATGACAAATTTTTAAACCAACACAAATTTATTGAAAAACATAAGGTTTTATTTGTTGTTTCCTTTTTAATTTTAGTCAGTTTGTAGAGCAAAAGGTGCATACAAAAAATAGCTGAATCAACAGAACCTGAGGTAGCCCCTATTTTTTCCACTTACAAAATAAAAAAAACTGACCCAGGCTACATATCTGACCTATCTGATCACAAAGTGCAAAAAACAAAATAGTGCACAGTAGTTGGCTATTAGAAATAACATTGTTTCCTTTTGAAACTAAATAAACAACTTGCACAGATTTGACCCAGGAACATCTCAAAGTGCATAAAATAAAAAAGTGCACTGTATTCAACTATAACAACATTCCACATTATATTAATGTATTGTAGGCTAGTTACCCTGCTGATTTATTGGGAGAAGGGGCATTTTTTGTTTTGAACGAGAGCAGTGACTTTTGGCTCATAAGTTTTCAATGCAATTCGAAGGCATTGGTGGAGTGTATGGTCAGTCAGGGAGCAATGAGAGTTGCTTTTTATGGAGTTTGTGTGCGAAAAACTCACATGTATACGTTGATCCAAACATAATGAGCATGATGATCGCTACTTTCCTAATGTTAGGGAACTGATGTGCGTTGACACCAGTCCAAAACATTGCAGGCCAGTTCGTGGAAAGCTCCTGTGCCATAGTTACAGATGACTGCATGACAACAAGTTTGAGTGTGAATTTCCCGTCGTCAATGGAAGTGACCAGTTTCTAAGCTCTGACGTATAAGTCCCCTTCTCTACTGAAACAGTGAAAGTTTCTGACAAAAACGGCCAACTCTGTGGGCAGATCAAGTTCATCCAGTCAACCAGCAAAGTTATTTTTAACATAGCAATGAAATCTGTCATCACATCTGTGAAATAAACAAGTATTTGTCAGTCCAGGCAGAGTTAAGCTTATGGTTTTCATTGGCAATTTTACGTTTCAGTGTTGAGAAAAAGCATAATAATAGTGAGTAACCTAAGCTACTACCGGCACGCTCTGCATTGTTTGTGTGTTGCAGGCTATGTCGTTACGTAGGAATTAGCATTTTTGGCATACATATATATATATATATATATATATATATATATATATATATATATATATATATATATATAAATTTACTATCTGTGGGTGGAAGCTGGGCCCCTCGGAGGCTGTATCTGGGCCACATGTGGCCAGCGTTCCGCTAATTGAATAGCCCTGCTTTATATGTGTATATGTATGTATATATATATATATATATATGTATATATATATATATATATGTATATATATATATATATATATATATATATATATAAAGAAAACTTCACAGAATCTTCACACTTTACAAATATCAAAGCATGTACTTAAACACATTCATAGAAAAGTACTCTATTGGTTATGATTTTATTCCAATACTATTCACTGACTAGCTATTTTACCAGTTCACTTACACCAGTTCAACTGATTTTAAACACAAATATCTAATCAGTCAGTCCATTTAGCAGCAATGCGATGAATTTTAGGCACGTAAAAGTGGTCAAGATAATTTACTGAGGTTGGAAACGAGCATCAGAATGGGAGGGAAAAAAAGGTTATTTTAAATGGCATAGTTGTTGGTGGCAGATGGACTGGTCTGAATATTTGCAGAAACTGCTGGTCTACTGGGAGTTTCACACACAACCATCTCTAGAGTGGTAAGAAAAATAGAAACTGTGAGCAGCTGTTCTGTGGGTGAAAATGCTTTGATTATGCCAAAGGACAGAGGGGAATGGCCAAACTGCTATGGACAGATAAAAAACAACAGTAAGGCTGTGTTTATACTAGTGAATTCTCTTTTTTTTTTCCAAATGCATTTTAGAATCCAGACTAGTTTTTACTGTTTCAGACAAATCCATCCTACATACAATACCTGACAAAAGTATTGTCTTCGATTCCAATTGTAAGAGCAAAAAAAAAAAAAAAAAAAATCTTGACTTCTAGTTGATCATTTGGAAAAGTGGCAGAAGGTAGATTTTTCAGATGAATCATCTGTTGAACTGCATCCCAATCATCACAAATACTGTAGAAGACCTAATAAACCCACATGGACTCAAGAATCTCTCAGAAATCAGTCAAGTGTGGAGAAGGAAAAATCATGGTTTGGTATTAAGAGGGTGTGCGAAAGATCTGCAGAGTGGATGGCAACATTCACAGCCTGAGGTATCGAGACATTTGTACTACCCATTACATTACAAACCACAGCAGAGGGCAAATTCTTCAGCAGAACAGCGCTCCTTCTCATACTTCAGCCTTCACATCAAAGTTCCTGAAAGCAAAGAAGGTCAAGGTGCTCCAGGATTGGCCAGCCCAGTCACCAGATATGAACATTAGCTATTATTGATGAATTCAAAGAATCCCGTTTAACTCCTGCAAGAACATTTTCTTTGCCATTTCAGATGACTTTATTAATAAGTTATTTGAGTCATTGCAAGCTCATGGAAGTCATTCA